GTGGGTGGGGGGGTGTGGGGGGAGTGGTGTAGGGAGTGTTGCATGTAGGAGGGGTGTGTGTGTAGAGGAGTTTGGGGGGAGTTGTGTAGGGAGTGTTGCATGTAGGAGGGGTGTGTGTGTAGAGGAGTTTGGGGGGGGTTGTGTGTATTGTGCAATTCTAATCCCCCTCTCCCCACAGTCACAGTCTCTCCTGTGAGATCGAACCCCCTGGGGAGGCCCCAACCCCCCAGCGGCCCCTGAAGCCCACCCTGGTCATCACCCACTGCACAGAGTGAGCATGGGGGGGCGGGAGCAGGGCTGAGTGGTGATTGAGGGAGGGGGGCTCTGGCGCGTTGGGGGGCTGGAGGGATGGGGAGGGGGGCTCGAGGGGCGGAGGCTGGTGGGGCTGAAGGTAGCAGCCCCCCCCTCGCTCCATCTGTTACCTCCCCTGCCTCCCAGGCTGCTGAGCTCCGTGGGGAACCCCCTGGTCTCCTGGGAGGGGCCCCCCAGCTGCAGCCCCGACCTGCTGCCGCCCCCCCGTGGCCCCACACAGCTGCTGTCTCGCCTGGCACAGGTGAGACACCCCCCTTACCGCTTCCTCCCCCTGCCCCCATCCCCCCGCCTGATCTCCCCCCCCCAAGTCCTGCTCCCCCATCCCATCCCTCCCCCACCCCATCCCCCTTTCCCCCTCGGTCCCCTGCCCCTTGTCCCATTCCTTCCCCTCCCTCAATCCCAGCACCTTGCCCCACCCCCAGTCACCCCCTCTGCATCCCGACAGCACATGAAGTGGCCGTCAGTCTCCGCGCTGGACGCAGCTCCTGAGGACGTGGCTTCCTTGGCCGGGGGCCTCTCGCCCCCCACCCCCACCGGGGGGGGCTTTCCCCGGGGGCACCGGCGCTCGGCTTCATGCGGCTCGGCCTTCCCTGCCCCTCCCACCCTGGAGCCCGGGGCCCCCCCCTCCGACTGCTGCATCATCCGCGCCCGCATGGCCCTGCACAACGGCAGCCTCTACAAGAGCATCCTGGTGAGCACCCGGACGCCTGGGTCCCGTCTCCAGGGTGGGGACTGGGAGCCAGGACTCCTGGGTTCTATCCCAGCTGGGGGGCGGGAATAGGGGTTAGAGTGGCAGCTGGGAGTCGGGACACCTGGGTTCTCAAGCCTGCCCTGTCTGTCTTGCTGTGACACTTTCCTGCTGCAGTCTGAGTGTTGTGGGGGGTGGGCCAGGCTATTAGTTTAGCCTGGGAACCCCCCTTTTCCCCAGCGTGACCCCAATCCCACAGCTGCTATGGGGAGGAGGCAGCTGGTCCCCTGACTCACAATGGGGCAGCCCCTTCCCACAGGGAGAGACAGTGTGTGTGTCTGGTATGAGTGGGCTGGACCTACACGTACGTGTGTGTGTGTATTGGTCGGGGGGGGGGGGTGCGCGCATGTGTGCATTGTCGGGGGGGGGGTGATTGGGTGGGTGCTGGGCGTGGGGCTTTCTGGGAGGTCTGTTGGAATTTGCTGTGTTC